GAACACATTGGACATCTTTTTGAGATAAACTCACATTCAGAACAGTAGCACAGCCCAAAGACATTGTTTATTTACTCTTGTGGGGAGTTAAAAGGGATGAAGGGCAAAGAAGGAGCACTGGTTTACTGCAACCTGTAGGTGGACAATATGGGCACTAAAGTTCCCTGCCAAAAATCATACTCTACTTGTACGCATAACACATCTATCTTATATGAGCTGTCTGATGTGAAACCTATTTAAATCAAGGTATAAAAGTTTTCCCACAAACAAATTTTGAGTTGCCTAGACTGCCAGTTGTTGTGCTCCTCAACAGTCTCTTCAGAAGCATCTCAGAGAGGAAACTTGCAAGACAGAAACAGAGTCCCATACCGCTCAAGAAGACATACTCTCCCGCTCTTTGTCAAACTGGATGTCAAGCATTTCCTGATCCTATTTGGAGAACTACTTGCAACAGTGATGAACAGAAACTGCATAAACAACTATTATGGCAAAAAAAAGTTTTTTGTCGAGGTCATACAGCCAAGGAAACTTGTGATGGACATTTGGTACTTGATTATAATGCTGAGGGACAAGCATTTGTAACGTGAGCTGACATCTGGCTGAAATAGTTCTTAACTTTCTTAGTTCATACCTTGCCCCACAACTATTTTTATCTTTTCAGTATTTGGTAGAGGGGCTTGCAACAGAAAATATTTGCTAAGGCAATTTGATGATGAGATTGATATCAGGCAGGGAAAATAAGCAGAAAGTTTGGTAGAATTGTCTTTACACCACATTTCCAGAACACAGATGAGACACTCACTATAACCCATTCTTAGTATCCTAAGCCCATCTGACCCAGATATTCTATTACAATTAATGTTTTCCTTTCCTTCACTTTATAATTCAGCCCCACTTATTCTATCTAAGTCATTATGATAGAAATGTTTGGGTGTTTGGAAATTTTCCCAGCTTCAACTACTATGGTAATATGACCTTGAGTTATGCCAATCAACAAGGAAAGATTATAATCTAATTTACAAGCTATGGCTGATATTCTGATAAGATGCCAATTACCAAGTTCAGTAGTCAGTAATTTTAACATACCCAATGTCAATGGCTGGGGCATTCTTCATAATCATACTAGGATATCCCATTCAACATTTGGGATGTCCCACATTATAGTAATAGGATGTTCTAAGTGTTTCACTTCATAGTAAGGCAAAAAGTATAATTTCCCACTCCAATCTTGGAGTTCTAATTATATACATGCTGACCTAATGTACTTGTGATTCCCTTGATCCTGCTCCAGCCTCCTCCAATGCCCCTTGTAATAAGAATCTTACCTCTCAATAATATGTATGATACACAGCCACCCAATTCACAATGTGAGCATGTCATATCATGATACTTGTTCATGCTCATTCCTATGAAACTATGGTTCAAACATAACAGTATATGTCATGTTTGAACCATATTTTCATCACACAGTCGCAACACCAGCAAACTGAACCTAATCTGAGTGACAGTCACAATAATTTATCAGCAATGAACATCAAAAGGTGATTAGATGGATAGAGAAAAGATTAATTGTGTACATATCTATGCTGAGGAGACAAGCACTTCTCCTTCAAACACGTTGTAACATGAATATAAGAAGCTAAAAATAATTTCAACACTGTAGTGATATTTGTCTCAACAAAAGAAAGGGCCATTAATGAAAAAAGCCTAAGATAAATATAATGCAGTTTAAAACATCAGCAAAGGAAAAGGAGTACTACATCATCTTAACCCTAGGTAATTAGTCATTCCTGATGAAGAGGTTCATCTAAGTGGTGAAAAAGAAGTTAAACCCAAATGAGGGAAATCAAAGTGCACTGTAAATAAGCAGTGTGAATAGTATAAAGAGCACTAGGGCTTTATTACTATCAACTCAGGATACATAATGTTTTCTCTATCCATCTAATCACCTTTTGATGTTCATTGCTGATAAATTGTTGTAACTGTCACTCAAATTAGTTTTAGCTTTTTATATTCATGTTACAACGTGTTTGAAGGAGAAGTGTTTGTCTCCTCAACATAGATATGTACACAATCATCCTCCCTAAACCACTAAACAGTGGTTTATAGTTATAGTTTTATTAAATGGACCCCAGATACCCATGACATATCACAGTCTTTGGGATCACCCCAACCCCAGGACATTTAATGGCTGTTAGGTACATAAAAATACAGAAAATGATCCAGCTAAGAGCTAGGGACATGGGGGTGACTGAAGTGTTGTATCTGTGAACATTATGATCCAAGTGGAATCTCCTCGGTGTCACCTAGGAAAAGAGCTTAAAGAGACTCAATGTCATAAAAACTGGAGCCAATGTCAAAAGAAGCTCGACTGCTTGCATATAATTTGTCAGCCAAATGTCCAACAGTATATAATTTAAAGAGACTAGCATCTGCAGCAAACCTCACCCACCCACTAAGAATATATGTGAACTGCATGTTAAAATTACAGCACAGAAGGCAGTACTGTGAGAACATGCCTTTCCAATTAAAAGCAGCATCACACTCTGCAACCAAAGGGCTGCATGCAATACCAATGCCATCAATTACACCAATAATGTTCTATTTGCCATCCTTCTTTTCATTGCCCAATTTAGCTTTCTTAACCGTTATTACCACTTTCTATTGCAGATCAGAGAACGGGCAGTCCTCCCTATTAGGAAAACCCCATATAGCTATGATAGCCCATATAGCACTATATAGGCTCTTATAGCTGATATAGCTGGTATAGTTGGTGTAGACAAGTCCCTATTATATAGCTCTATATAGCTAGGCTTCAGCTTTACCCACTATGATAATACATAAATCTACTATCCAAACAGGTTTGTATTTTGTCAACTATACAAGACAAGGCTGGCTATATTGCCTTGTATAGCTCAATGTAGATATAACTGTTTCACCACACTTTCAGAAAAATACATTTTTATAACCATTACCATAGCCAAATACATATACCACTGTTACAAGCATTGTTTTCAGAACAATGCATTTTTTTAATGATTATTATAGTCAAATACATCTATTACTATCACAATTTGATTTCAAAGCACTGAAACTGTTATTTCTCTATAATATTAAATATGACATCAAGCAATTATAGAGTCCTCCAAAGCTGTAAAGCCAACCTCATCATCTGATTCAATGCTTTAATCCTTGATATATTGGAGATTGCATTGGTCTCTGTTAAAAGATACATGTCAAAAAAAATCAAAACTACATTTCCTTGTGACAAATATACAAGATATCATTGTATAGGGAACTGCACATATGCTCTATCTACCTTGGGGCTTTTTTTTGCAATTCTTCCAATCTAGCAACATAATAATGGTACCTTGTAGTAGAGGGTTATTAGTATTCCCAAATATAATATTCAGTAATATGTACAAACCTTGCACTATATACTTGGTCTGAAAAATTCAGGGTACGTCTACGTCTTACACCTGTAGCAAACTCATAAAGGCAGTTTTCTACCTGAAGAAAAACATCAGCTTTCACATTTGTAATAGTAGTGAATAAAAAAGGAGATACCGCAACTACCACTAAAGCAATGAGAGGGAGAGGTATGTTTTTGAAGCCTTGAATATTACGCACTCCTTCCCCCTTTCCTATGAAACTATTGGACTTGAAGAATAAGCTTAATAATATTATGACTGGAAATTTATCTGTTGCAAGCCCATATTCTGAAATCACCAATAAATGTGCTTGCTGCTTGACTTCACTCGTCATCTGGGAAGAAGCTGACTAAACCTGTGGAATTTTATTGGTACTGTGAAACAATCAAAAACATAGAGATTTGGTGTACGTAGTCCATGATTCTCCCTTTTAATAATTCATTCTCCACGTCCTCCAGCTTCAATAGCTTGACACTTAAAGTGGTGGAAGATTTTTCTGCTTCTGTCAGTGCAGTCCAGACCAGATTATCATGCTATTGTAACGACCAAGAGTTAGTTACTCTGGCGCACACAAGAACACACTATGAAGGTAGTGATGAGGGAGTGGTTACCCCTTAAGCTGCAGAGAGTTTGTTGGTATACAACAGGAGGACTCGCTGAGGAGTCTCCTTGATCTATTAGGGTATTTATACTAATACAGAGTGTTTGTACCTATGTACTGTACAGTTAATAAAAGCAGTGGCTGATGATGTCAGAGGGTGCAGCCCGTGTGACCAGCTCCACTGCATGAGAGAGTTTGTGTCTAAAAGAAGAATAAAGGTAGTGCTGCGCGAGAAGGTAGAGTTAGAACAAAAAAGGAAAGTGCCACATGGCACAGAGTGTAAACTATAGTAAAAGGTTAAAGCGGAGAATGAAAATTAAAGGAAAGGTCCGAAAATTGTGTTATTGTAACATCTGCAGCTTAAGGGGTAACCACTCCCTCATCACTACCTTTATAGTGTGTTCTTGTGTGCGCCAGAGTAACTAACTCTTGGTTGTTACATTAGAACTCGCTCTTCTACTCTCTTGCACGTTGTGCAAAAAGTCCCACTAGGCACCCAGACTCCAGGGTGAAGGAGGTTTGGTTTTTGGTTAGGAATATCCCACATAGCAGATAGGTGCACTCCTAGAGACAGCCTTGTAGTGCTTTGGTGGAAAAACCAATACACAATACCTGTGATACGCGGCCCCCAGCGTTAAGGGGAGTACTATAGCTCAGCAGTTGGTGTGGAACCACTGTTGATTAGAATTTAGAATACAAAAACTTCTTTTTCAAATACCTCTGACCAGGCCGGGCACTTGCCTCCGCCAGTCTGGAGAAGGGCTGACAGCTTAACAAGCGGGCCACCCCCTGACAACCGTTCGGACCAGGGTTTTGTACAAATACCTTTTATATACATTTTCAAATAATAGTGTGGGTAGTCAGAGATTGAGATCCGATACTCAGCTGGGAAAAGGTAGATCTGCAGATAGCAAGCGGGGACCCCCAGTTACGTCTTGTTACTATACTTTACAAGAGAACAAGTCAACATGTCGTCGCAACCCCAACAAACTGATGACAATGCTCTGTTGCACAACATGCGTGCACAGATCTTGGCGTTGACCATGCAACTCACCAAGCTGCAGCCACACCCTCCTACAGCAACCCCCTCGGTTGAGAAGAAGTTCAATAAGAAAGTCAAAGTCATCGCTGACCCTGGCGCGTTGTGTTTGCCAACAACTTTGAGGTAGCCACTGCGGTGCTATCTTGACTAAAGGGATCTGTGGCGGGTCGATACGCCCAAGTTAGAATGCAGGAGTGCTACACTGCGGGAGTGCGGCCCACCTGGCACAATCTCAAGGTAGAGATCAGAAAATATTTCAAACCGCAAGCTGAGCGTGACTGGGCGCGTCAGCAAATCTGTTCCTTTAAACAAGGCAACATGAGGACGGATGATTTTGTAACCTGGTTCCTGGCCCTCTCCATCCAAGTATTAAGAACAAAGCTTGAAGGAAGTGTCTAGCCACTTGCTGAGAGCAATCAGGGACTGGAACTAGAGTCCAATGTGAGTAACTAGAGAATAGGAAGCATTGGACTCTGCAGTACTGTCCGAAGTTTTGTAAACAAAGGTAAACAAAGCAGCCTCAAAGGCAAAATAATAGAGAACACAATCAATAGTGAATGACAGAAGAATAGATAGAGAAAGGAATGAAAATATATAGGTAGCACAAAGGTGCAGGATCACCAAAACTAACACCAAGGGAGTCTTGGTAATGAACATGCAGTAGAGCTGCTGGAACGCAATGTGAACCCCCACATTGCAGAACAGCTTTATCTGCAGGATATGAGAAATGAGAACCTCTCTCAAGCAGCAGAGGAGGTTCAAAAAATAGGTAGGGCCATAGAGCTCTACAAAATGCACCAAGGTGGCGAGACCACCAAAAACAACCAATCCCAGAGGCGCCCTGGGTCATCAAATCATCATAATCACTCTCAGGGGTTCAAGCCATTCGGGCTGCAGCCAGGACAGGGTGCTCCTATGGATATTGGTGCGGTCCAAGGCGGACAGATACGCAGATTCAAGGGCAACTGTTACAACTATGGCCAAGAGGGACACATGTCCTGAGATTGCAGAAACGGGATGCAGGCCGCCCAACAAAAAAATAATCAAGGGCGCCAGGCGGGCCAATTAGAAACTGAAAAACTGGACAATTGGCTCAATACTCTGACCGGTTGTTCATACAACGAAATCCGAGTTTTCTTCTATGACCAACAGGTCAATGAAATGAAAGCTCAGGGAAAAGAGTTCGGAGCTTAGGTCACTTGGGTGCCTTTTTTCCACGAAACAATGAAGTAAACCACAACAAAGTGGCCCCTGCTCCGGGGTGTTGCACGAGCAATAATGGAAAGAAAGGGATGGCTCCCCAATTTGTAAATAGATTTCAAAATTTATCAGAAATATGTACTTGTATGAAGCATTGTAATTGTAATATTTATGATACTACCGCTGTACCAGCGTCTCCCTTGGAGTGTGGCCCCGGCGAGACAAACAATAGGGTGCTTGATTCTGGTGAAGATAAAATAGAAAAACATTTAACTTTTGACACTTCTTCTTCTTCGTTGGAGCCACCCTTTCCTGAAATCTCAAGGCGTGTGTTGATGCGCACATACTTATTCCAAAAGGAGATCTGTTTAGACGTTGGTGTGGAAAACCTTGCCCGGGGCATAATACACCCAACCAGTGCGCTACTTGATTCAGGCGCTAACTGAATCTTCATAGATCAGGTCTGGGCGGAGCAAATTGGACTCCCCCTTGTAAAATTAGATGTACCTATTCTCGTCTATAATGTTGATGGTACGCTTAACTCAGGTGGCTGCATTACACACAAATGTTCTTTTGTTGTCGAGTACCAAGGACACAGAGAACGAGTCACCGCCAAAGCTACCTAACTAGGGAAGATTAATTTAATTCTGGGCTGGACCTGGCTATTCAAACACAATCCTGAGATCAACTGGCAGACAGGGGTTGTCACATTGTCACATTGCCCTCAGGAGTGTGATGACTTGGGTAAGCTCAGTCACGTCCGTCAAACTGAGCTTGATGAAAGGATAAACGCTGGTCACATTTATGCCAAGCTTAGGTCTTTAGAAAAGATTGACAATGACGATGACGAGGTAAAACCTGAGGAAGAAATTAAGAGGCTGGTACCTCCCGAGTACCATGACTTCTGGAAAGTCTTTTCTAAGCATAAGTCAGAGCGCTTCCCAGAGGCTAAGCCTTGGGACCATGCTATAGATTTGAAGGACACCTTCAAGCCAAGAAAAGGACACATGATTCCCCTCTCTGCTCCAGAAAGAGATAAGGTCTCAAGTTTCATAGATGAACAGCTTAGGAAGGGTTACATCAGACCTTCCAAAAGCCCTATGACGTCCCCGGTGTTCTTCATCCCTAAAAAGGATGGTAAGAAGCGCATGATTATGGACTATCATTACTTAAATGAGTACATGATTAAAAATGCGTATCCACTGCCTTTGATCAGTCAGCTAGTAGACAAATTGGCTGGCGCCAAGATCTTGACAAAGATGGATGTTAGATGGGGGTACAATGATGTACGAATCAAAGAAGAAGATGCTTGGAAGGCCGCGTTCACGTGCCACCGAGGATCCTTTGAGCCCCTTGTTATGTTCTTTGGGTTGACCAACTCACCGGCAACCTTCCAGAGCATGATGAATAAGATCTTTGCGGATATGGAAAACTGTGTCGTCATTTACATTGACAATTTGTTAATATTCACGAAGTTGGACAATGAGACTGAGCATGACAGGATCGTGCAAGAAGTCCTTCGACGCTTACAGGAACGGGACTTATTTGTATTTGTCAAACCCGAAAAGTGTAATTTTTAAGTGAAGGAAGTAGACTTCGTCAGTATGATAATCGGCCAGAACAGAATCAGGATGGACCCTGGAAAAGTTCAAGCTATATTGGATGGGCCAGAACCTACTTGCGTCAAAGGAGTTAGGGCCTTCCTTGGCTTAGATAATTTCTACCGAAGATTTGTCGAAAACTTCGCGAAAATAACGAGACTGTTGAACGATCTCACAAAGAAAGACATTGTTTGGCACTGGGGCACCAAAGAACAAGAAGCTTTTGATAAGCTTAAACAGGCATTTACAACGGCGCCCATATTAGCATTTCCAGAATTAGACAAAGAGTTCCGGCTAGAAACTAATTCTTCTGATTTTGCTCGTGGGGCTGTTTTATCAATTAAATGCCCTGATGATCTTTGGAGGCCTTGTGCCTATTTATTACATAGTTTGTCGCCTACAGAGCACAACTATCAAATCTATGATAAGGAGATGCTGGCCATCATTAGAGCCTTAGAGCACTGGTGGCACTACTTAGAAGGTGCTAGGCACCAATTTTAAATTTGGACTGATCATAAAAATCTGGAGTATTTTATGACAGCCCGAGATTTGAACCAGAGACAGGCCCGCTACGCGCTGTACTTGTCTAGGTTTAATTATAAATTAATTCATAAACCTGGAACTCCAATGGGGTAAGCGGACACTTTATCCAGAAGAGAGGATCATGCCAACAGTATAGAAGATGACAACCAACATGTTACCCTGATAGACTAATCAAGGGTTGCCAATGTTAGAATCGGGCAGGATTCCAATCTTCTGGAAACATTCAAGAAAGATATCTCATCAGAAGAGAAGGCGCGCCTTGACGGCAATGAAAACTATGTATGGGAAGACAGACTCTTCCACTTTCAAAACAAAATTTATATACCTAAGTCCGCAAGGATCAAGGTAATAGATAGACATCATGACACTCCAGTGGCTGGCACCCTGGGTGGCAATAAACAATGGAGTTGATCTCCAGAAACTACATGTGGCCTGGCATGGTCAAAGACGTACAGGAATACGTAAAATCCTGACTGAGATGTGCCATGGCAAAGAACTCACACCAACCGCTGGCCGGTAAACTTATGCCGAATCCAATACCAGCTGGTCCCTGGCAAGATATATCGGTTGACTTTACAACGGATCTGCCTGAGTCAAACGGGTATGATTCAGTAATGGTGGTAGTATATCACTTCTCCAAAAAAGTGATATTTATTCCCACCAACAAAACCATTACCACCGCTGGAACGGCACTTATTTAAAGATTTTGTATGGTCTATCCATGGGTTACCGGAAACGGTTATCTTCGATAGGGGACTGCAATTCACTAGTGAATTTACAAAAGAATTATGCCGGATGCTGGGCATCAAACCTAAGTTATCAACAGTGCTCCATCCGCAGACTAATGGACAAACGGAGAGGCTCAATCAGGAATTGAAGCAATATCTCTGTATGTTTATTAACGACAGGCAGACAGATTGGGCCAAGTGGCTAAAGATAGCCCAGTTCTCATATAATATTAAACAGTCGTCGGCTACAGGGAAAGCACCATTTGAGGTTACAAGATCATACCTTTCCAGAATGGGTGTAGAACCTGGCAAAAGCAAGAATGAGGCCACTGAGAACATGGTAAAAGACATGAAGTCTGTCTTAAACGAGATGTGCAAGGTGCTATTCAAAACTGCAGAGCAGATGAAAAACAGGGCAAAGTGTAGACACTTTAAGGCCCCTGACTACAAGGTTGGCGACCTGGTCTGGTTAGATACTGACCACTTCAAATTAAAAGATCAGCAGTCTAGAAAACTGACCAAAAAGTGGATTGGGCCTTACCGGATTAAGGAAGTCAAACCCAATGCAGTGGAGCTGGAACTCCCAAAACGAATGAGGGTAGTACCCACGGTCAACATTAGCTGTGTGAAACCCTACATAGGGCCGCTGCCGGGACAGCGCGTAGATCGGCCCGGACCAATTGTACTCTCCCAGGTCGAAGTCAAACAAGTAGTGGATGCACACTTGAAGCGTGGAAAGTTAGAATTCCTAGTCCTATGGAAGGGCTATGCACTGTCTCACAGTTGGGGCAAAGAACAGCCATTACACGGCAATATGCTCTGATCCTACAGCACTCATCTAGATCACTGGAAGAATTCTTTGCGACATAACACAACATGGAGCAGCCAAAGAAAATTATTTGATCCTCTATGACAACTGTAATGGATAAGGATAACCGGTTGTAGATGTCAATCAACAGATTATATTTTTCGCCATTATACTACTTTATAACTCTGGCCCAATGCTACTACCAACTCTTCGATTAATCGTCATCTTTTGGAATTATTCCAATGTCGACAGAATATTGTATTGCACTATATTGAATTGTGAAGCTTTGTAATAATTTCAGTCGGACTACAATTTATAAAAGGTCATCCCACGGTCATTCCCATTCCCTGATGGCAGCCGCGGGTCCCAGACCTGAGTTGTCATCTCTTTCACCCACCCACTAGGTCTCTTTTCTTTGAAGATTCACTAACACTCGTTCTTTCTCACCGGAAAGAAAGTTACCAACCTATTATGTTTTCGTCCTCACGCGCTGTGCGTGTTGTGGTCTCTTTTCTCTCTCTTTCCGTTTCTCTCCCATACACCTTAGCATCGCCAGCTCAAGGAAACATTAACCGTCGTGCTTCTGTATGCAATGGTCACGCCGAGCTCTGCAATCGTAGTTTTGGTAATGTCACGTTTGTCGGGGCCCACGACTCGTACGCTGTGGGGATAAACAGCAGTAAATTACCGCTCATCTATTTACCTTACGCGCTAATAACGCCTTCTAGTTGCTGCCAACCAGGACTATAACAGTACGTCTCTCTCTCTCAATCAGTATCTCGTCCATTAAAGTAAGGTATGACAGTCACACAGCAACTAAACGACGGTATCCGAATGCTCCAAATGCAAGCACACAACCTGAGCGGTGTAATCCAACTCTGCCACACGACCTGTGTTTGTGTTCCAGGTTTTTATTGAAGAGGACCTCGTTAGACTTACTGGTACCATAGGGACTTTATAATGGCGGTCCACTTTCAACATATCTAGGAACAGGTCCAGGTCATCCTCAGTTCTCCCCTGTGTGCTCACTCATATTAGTTCGCAGTCAAAACGTGGCTGGACGCCAACCCTAATGAAGGTAGTTGTATATTCGCAAGATTGCCAAGCCTTCAGTACTGATCTCGTGGCAATCAGTTCTATCTCTACTCATCGTCAACTCTGATGACTTCCCTCCTACTGCCTACGATTCTATCTTTAAATCAGTTGGACTTGATACCATGTCGTATGCACCTACATCAGCAGTTACACCTGCTACTCAGTGGCCTACCCTTGGCTCACTCATCGACTCCGGAAAGAGGTTACTGACATTTATGGATGCATCAGCAGATTTTACGTCGGTGCCATACATTATAGATGGTACTGTCTTAGCCTTCAATTCCTTATTTCACATAATCTGACAATATGGGCAGAATTCACTAACATTTGGGAGTCGCCTTATGACGTTTTTACTCTGCCTTTCGACTGCAGCGTCAACCGTACAAAAGGCGACTCTTCCACAGAAATGTACCTCATAAACCACTTCTTCGACCAACTTATCCTTGGACAGCCAGCTCCTGACCCTGATCAAGCCAATCAAACTAATGCCGTCAATGGTACTGGTTCTTTGGGTGCCCAAGTCGCCACATGCGTTGCCGACTATGGGAGGAACCCAAATTTTATGCTCGTTGATGTAAGACATGATTCTTTCGCACTTCAATGAGTTGTATCAATGGTTATAATTTAGTTCTACGAGTATGGTGGAGGATCGGTTTTTCAGGTTGCGGCGACTGCGAACAACGTCACATATAATCCCAGCACCCCTATTGCAGCGCCCATTCCACAGGGTGTAAACACCTCTCCTGGCTCTGGCTCAAGTCCTGGGTCACAATCTACAGGTGATGGATCGGTTATGTTGCCTGCCGTGTGGATAATGCTTGCCACCGTGCTGTTTGGCACCTACTGTGTGTTGTTGTGAAGTCTTTATATCTACAGTTCTATTTACACCGAGTCGGCTTCTGCTTGTCATCTTCTGGTATTTCACATGACGTTGAACATCTTAAATTGCCATAGATTTACCATCCTATGATCAGCATCACATGGAAGGCAGATATGATATTCAAGTGAGAAAAATTATCGTTTCCTTTCTAATTGCCACTTGTATATACGCAACCTGTAGGTTTTTTCGTCAGCCATTTTTTCCCGTCTATTCTCGTTGATGTCGAAACCATCCTCATCATATTCACGTTCATCCTCTCCTAGTTGTTCAACACCTTTAAGCTTTTTCCGCCCTCCCTTACCCATCAAGAGCTGTTGCACTTCAAGTTCACGCTGTGCATAACTTAGTTGTGTATCCCGTACGAGTCGCACCGAAAGTTCTTTCAGCAGGCGTTTTCGTTTGTGCTGTGGGATAAAACGAGTGATTGAAATAGTAAATAGCTATGTTGACGATGGACAGAGACAAACCTTAGATAAATCATTCCGTTCTTCTTGTGCCTTTTCTTCTGGTTGGTCATTTGGTGGGGCCTTGGCCTTGGGTCTTCTTCGCGGGCCATTGCTTTCGGTCTGCTTCCATCCTAGCTCCAGACCTTTATTTGCCGACGGGCTCAAACCTTCATCTTCCTCGATAGCGAACGAACTTTGCTTTTTGACAATATATTGTGCTTTGGTAAGGCATCTTTCAGTTTTTTTGCAGTCCCTATGACAACTTAGAAATGATATCGTACCCTGGTCCTCGCTCTCCGCAAAATGAACATGTTTAGGAGGTACTTGGCTCACTCGCTTTGATTTTCTTGATAGAGCAGGTGGGATTAGTCCTGCTTCACGCAAAACTTCGAGTCCGGCCTCGTTAAGCGCATCTTCCCCGTCACATAATTCTTGGTCTGATGTAACAAGATTAGCCAAAGTTGCCAGTTGGCCTTTTATTTTGTCTATTTTCTGCAACAAATAATAAACTTGGGGGAAAGGCTGGAGCGTCCGGAAGAAATATACCTTCAAGCCATGGGCCCTCATAGTTCGTACGTATCCCTCGTCCTGAGTTTTGAGGACTTTAACCACGTCAACTGGCAGCGATTCTTCCGCTCTATCCTTGACATGCACACCCTTCACCGTCTTCTCCTTATTCATCCCAAAGTAGAATTCATCTTTGTTCCTATCCGCCGCTTTCTGCCTCAGGCGCGTGATGCGATCCTGCTTGGAGTGGTAATCTCGCGCACGGAGAACATAATCCTTATGTTTCTCTAGGATACCGTATTTCGTGCGATAAATAAGCTGAGAGCGTTCCTTGTGGTTGCGCCTGTGCAGCGAATTTCTGAGGGAGGATGTCATTGAAGGATAAAGAAACAAAGGAAGTCGTGACAAAGTGACGTGCGTAATGCCACCTGAGTCACACCGCTGTAACGCGCCGACTATTCCCGAATATGATTCCTGCCGATTGCCCCACAGGTCTCTCGCTGTCCACGCACGCTCCTTCCATGCGGATTCCAACCCCTACACTCGTTTAACATTCGTTTAACATTTCGTTCCATATGGACCTTTCGTAGCCGTTATTTGTTTGCCCCAACCTGTCCACGTAGTAGTGATAAATAGCACTGTAATCGATAGAGACAGGTAGCCTTGAAACAACCACGACTTACACCAGTTCTTTCAAAGGTTCGATACTCAGTGGGGCGTTAGCGTTACGCAAACATCACATATTTTGAACTGCAAAAAGTCTACTACTCTAAAAAGAAAAAAAAGAACTACTCTTCCTCTCCACAACTCCGGACTTGATCACCCCGCGACGACTGGACCGGCACTATGGCTACCCAAAACCTGCTCCCACCACCCCACTATAACCTGCGCACTCGGACAAAGACGTCGGGGACCTTTAGAAGGGCTAGTAGTGAGTCATCGCGTTCTAACTTACCTGACAGTCCAACGCATGCCGTACCTCACCTGAGCCCTGGAGGCCAGGGAGGGACAACCAACCTCTGAGCCTCGCGCTCTTACAGTGACGTAGTCAGAGTGGGACCCAACCTATCCGACCTAAAAGCTCGCGATATGGCGGACGGGACCCATAGCTTACCTGTAACTACCAGGGCGAGGACTGGCCAAGCTAGAACTCAAACTGAGAATCCGCAAACTGCGAAATCTATGGGAGTCACCCACCTTAATAAAGAACAAGCTGCCCTAGTGCAGCAGGCTGAACAGTTGCTCAGTGACGAGCAACTCCAGGCCATACTAAGCAGACGGGAATTGGAATGCTCTGCACAGTTGAGTGGAACTGAGACCAACCTGAACTCCCGAGCGGGAACCAAAGGCAAAGGACCTGACCCCGGTAATTGGGGCGGACTGCACGTTGAGCCTGATGACCTTGAGCCAGACGCTCAACGACAAGCTCTGTTAGCCTGGAACGAGGCCCGCGACCTGGCTAACCGGGGGGAACCACAGTGGCCAGGACCTTCTGGAGTAACCAGAGAGGGTGAGGCCGCTCCGAGTGAGCTGGACCCCTTGTTGGGTAACGGCACTAGTCCTCGAAGGACATCTCGTCAGAGATCTAAAAGTAAATATCAAAGAGAAAGGAAACGTCAGCTCAGACAAGACAAGAGGGAAACTTACCCTAGCGCAGGAGGAGACCCTTGCAGGACTGGGTATAATGACCCCATAGCCGTCCTTGTGGATAAGGCCTTAAAGCCTATGGGGGTCCCACCTCGTAGGGAGCGCAACCAGCATGCCCTGGCACCGGCTAACCAAGTGGACCCAACCAGCTACATTGGACGCACCTTAGACTGACTTAAGGGACAAAAAGGACAGACAGACCCCTCAGACTCGAGCCACAGGTCGGACAGCGAATCGAGCTTGAGCTCGAGCACTTCCTCACGCCCCTACTCAGATTCGTCATCATCGGGATCCAGACGAGGTCGGAACCCTCGTGGGCGAAAGCGGAGCAATCGGCGAAGGAAACGAAAGCACTCAAGAAGGAGACAGATCCTTAGGCCCACAGAACCCACTGTATATGATGGTCGCCCGGACTCTCAAGAGTTCCATCAATTCATGGTAGCGGCCACTACTTACCTGAAGGAAGGAAGAGTACCCCGTAAAGGACGGGTGTATCGTCTTTCGGCTTTCTTGAAGGGGACCGCCTACGACTTCTTCTTGTACAAAGTATCCCCAGATCCCTCCGGCTGGACGCTGAGGGACTTCTTCATTGGGTTATTTAACCATTGCTTCCCGGTAGACTATCGAATGAAGCAGCATGACAAACTGAAGAGATGCTTTCAAGATAATAAGTCTGTGCAAGAATATTTGTATGAACTAACAGAACTCTGGAATATCATTGGAGACGTGGACGAGCGACAACGCGTCATCCGGTTCTGGACAGGATTGAATGCTGAATTGCAACAAGGTCTGTGGATCAAAGAATTAAACCCGGAAGTCTCGGGGTTTGATGAAGTCCAGGCAGCCGCAGAGCTCCTAGAGATTGCTAGATCTGCCGGCTCAAAGGGGCGCTCGAATCAGCCCAAACCCGGTGTCTCAGCGGATTGACGGAGGCATCCTATTCGTCATGAGCCACAGGGCCAAACAAATAGCCCACATCGAAACTTTGTGGACGGGGCACGAAGACAGACCCACCACAGGCCCAAAGGACCTGCTCCCGGCCGACATCGGAACTCCACCGATCAGTCGCGCCACCACGAGTCCAAGCCAGTTCGTGGAGAAAAGAGAACCCCATTACTGAGCCTGGAAGAAAAGGAAAAACACCTTGTGGAAGGAAGATGCTTCATCTATCATGAGAGTGGGCACTTCAGGAGGAATTGCCCAACGCGGGGTACGCTTACCTCAATGAAGAAAGACCGACCCCCAGGAATACCTAGCTAGGCTGTGGGAATAGCGCCTGTTGAAGTTGTCAATGTAGAGCAGCTTCATGCTCTGGCAGACGCAACTGAAACTACTGAGAGCATAGCCCTCGGTTCGCTGGTCCCGGTAATGATGGAGGAGAGCCCCACCAAGGAGCCCTGCGATCAACGCCGCACCTTTCAGTTAGGGGACCCTCTAGGGGAAGTGGCTCAGCGGTTACTAACCGAGGGCACTCCCTATCCAGGAGATGAGGTGACGGATAGAGACACTTATGATCTGGGAAGATTCTCGGTCTACCGTGTCTCAGACCACGAACATGTCATCACTGACAGCTACCGGTGGTTGGAGGACGATGTTTGGATCCCCACGTCGTTCCTACTCGACACCAAATTCTGTGTTGCGGACTGGTACGCGGATCAGAGAGGACAGTCAGCAGGGTTCCCCCAAAACGAGTGTGAGGAATACTACTCGTACTTACCAATGGGGGATGCCATAGGGGACAGGGTAGAGGAACTCTTGAACATGGGACAGCCGTACCCCTGTGAGGTAAACCTAACGACTGAAAGAACTGAAGGGCGATTCATCTGCTTGCCGTAACTTTCTGTAATGGAGGGACGAGAATATTACCAAGTGATTGACAAAAACCTACAGTTCGATCTGGATGTACCGGTGGAGTTCTTCTGTAATGAGAGGCTTTACATCATCCACTGGTATGAACGACAACTTGAAAAAGCATACCAGGAGCTGAATATGCAACTACACCCTGAGAGCGCGGACTGGGAAGTGAACCACCTGGGATGGCTTTTCTCCCCCGACGAGGGAGATCAGGCCCCGGCCGGGGAAGAAGCTCGAGAAGCCAGCATGAACTCAGTGCCCGACGCGCAATTTGAGGATCGTTACGGGAAGCTCTGCCTAATTGAGTTAAACGGGCAGCAGATTGCCCCGGGGAAATACCCCTCCCTAGAGAGAAACGTGTCAGTGACGAAGGATCTCAAGCGAGTCTTACCGCGCCCTATTGTGGTCATGGTACATGTTAACGGGCATCCCGCCAGGGCACTGATTGACACAGGATCCCTGGCGGACTTCATGTCGTCAACTCTGGCGGATCAAATTGGTGTAGCACTAATCAAGTTAGCCCGGCCCCTCCCAATCCAGCTTGCGGTACAGGGGTCTCGGTCCAAGGTGACATTCGGGACGAAGGTGAAATTCGAATATCAGAAGATCAACACCGAGCGATATTTTGATATTATTAACTTACAGAATTATGATCTCATCTTGGGGACCCCGTTCCTGTACCAGCACCAAGTGATGGTTGGCTTCAACTCCTCTAAAATAGTTATTGGCAGCGACAGCCCAACTGTTATTTGTGGGGAAGAATGCTCCCAGCTAGAAGCTAGGGCGGCTGAGGTCCTAGATGAACATCTCGAAAAGATTAGACAGGATCTTAAGACCTATGCCAAACCACTCTGTGCGAAGGCCAGTGAAACTGGGCTTCCTCCCCTGCGAGACATTAATCATACCATCCCGCTTATCGATGAGGCAAGAATCTATCCTTGGCGCCCGTCTCGGTGTCCTGAGGCATTGAGGGAGCAATGGACTGAAAAGCGAGAAGCATACTTGTGCTCGGGAAGATGGAAAGTAACGAGTGCAGGAAACACTGTGCCCATGCTCCTGATTCCTAAGCCGGGAACTGGAAAGTTGAGGACCGTAATAGACCTTGGGGAAAGAAACAAAAATACTCGGAAACTGTCGTCTCCCCTCCCCAGCATGGAGGGCATCTTGAGGCGAGTAGCACAGAAGAAATATCAATCCCTGATTGACGGACAGGATGCTTATGAACAGATTTGTATCATCCCGGAGCATGTCAAACGGTCGACTGTGACTACTCCTGACGGTAATATGGTCAGTCAAGTCATCCAAATCGGAGACTGTAATGCGCCTGCGATCTACCAGGCGCTTATGAACCATCTGTTCGGGGCGTACATAGGTCGGTTCATGGATGTATTGTTAGTTTTGGTGATTCTGCACCTTTGTGCTACCTATATATTTTCATTCCTTTCTCTATCTATTCTTCTATCATTCACTATTGATTGTGTTTTCTATTATTTCGCCTTTGTGGCTGCTTTGTTTACCTTTGTTTACAAAACTCCGGACAGTACTGCAGTCCAATGCTTCCTATTCTCTAGTTACTCACATTGGACTCTAGTTCCAGTCCCTGATTGCTCTCAGCAAGTGGCTAGACACTTCCTTCAAGCTTTGTTCTTAATATGTATACCTGGATGACATTGTGGTCTACTCGGACACTGTGGCTGAGCATGTAGAACATACAAACTTATTCTGTCAATCCTTGATGAGCAGAAGCTTTACCTCAGCGAGCACAAGCTCCACTTCCTCTGTAAGGATATGAAAATCCTGGGGCGGGTAGTTGACGACTCTGGGATCCGTATGGATCCGGATAAGGTGACCAGTGTCTTGAACTGGAAGGTACCGACAAACCGGGACCTGTTGAGGGGGTTCTTGGGATCAGTGGGGTACCTGGCGGATGACATCTACAAGGTGCGCATACCTATGGGTGTCCTGTCCGCAATCTCCGGCAATACTGTACCTTTCAGGTGGACCTTTACTAAGCAACGAGCTTTCGAAACCATAAAGAGATATGTAGCCGCATGCCAGAAGCACTGTCGGATCCCCTTGGACTACCACAAGGAGGCTCCAACAATTTGGCTAATGACGGACGGATGCCTGAAAGGTATATCTGGCGTGGTCGCGCAGGGCTCAGACTGGAGAACGTCCAATATTGTCGCCTTCTTCTCGGCAAAGCTTACGTCTGCCCAGCAGAATTACCCTGTGCATGAGATAGAGCTGTTAGCCGGAGTCGAGACTATGTTACGATATAGAGACATACTGCAGGGGGCTAGGTTTGTGTGGCTAACTGATCACAAGGGGTTAGTACATCTACTGGGTCAAAAAGGATTGTCCGGGAGACAGGCAAGATGGATGGAAAAACTTGGCAAATTCGACTTCGAGGTGCGGTATGTCCCTGGGGTGGACAATGTACTACCAGACGCGCTGTCCCGGATGTATAGCTTTGATGTGCCTGGGACAGTCCACTTACGCTCGGAGTATACTCACCATGATCTTTTGGATGCGGGGACTAACTCCACACCCTTCTACCTCATTAGCTCCCCTGTGCTGGTAGGGTTGGAGGCGCTTGCTGCAGTGCCACAGACCCGAGCCAGGGCCCGGGCAGACGCCGAGCCTTTAGGGCCATCGCAGCAGCCAGCGGTTCACCTTGGGGACCCTACTGAACAGGCTGTCCGTGGGGCTTCACCACGTTCCCTTAAGGCTCGCGACAAACCTGCCTCAGCTGACACTGGGTGACCAGAGACAGCTCGTGAATTTGCTAAACGGATGAAGAGCCGTTTCGTTCTCCTTGGTCCAGGCGAACGAAAGGAGAGGGGGGTTAGTGCAGATCTTAAGCAGCCTAAGGAAGGGACGGCACCGTCACCAGGGTTGTCAGATCACCCCTTATACGTCCAGATTCCTCATGGCATGGAGGTGGAGGACCAGCTTGTGAACTCCATTAGGCACCGGTACAGTGATGATAGCTTCTACAGCAAAATTATCAGCGCGCCGTCCGAGTTCCGCAACTTTGTGGTAGATAACGGACTGGTCCGCCTCAAACTACGAGACAGACTGGTTTTGTGTATCCCCAACCAGACCCCTGAAGGACAATCAGTCAGGGAAATCTTGATAACAAGGGCTCACTCCCTCCTAGCTCACCTTGGAGCGGATAAAACAGTGGCCTATCTTCGGGACCACGTCTGGTGGAAAAATATGGCCCATGATGTAGCGGTTTACTGTGCGAGTTGTGGCACCTGTAAATGGAGTAAACCCTCTAACCAAAAGCCCTATGGGCTCCTTAATCCACTGCCCGTACCAACAACTCCTTGGGAGGCAATAGGAATTGACTTTGTGGGGCCACTTCCAATGTCCCAAGACAGGGATGGAGCGTATGATTCCATTACTACAGTTATTGACCTTATGACAGCTATGGTCCATCTTGTACCTAGCAGGGCTGATTACACAGCAAAGGATGTGGCCGAGCTCGTGTTCTCTGAAATCTATAAGCTACATGGGCTACCAAAAGTGATCATCAGCGATAGGGATGTGCTGTTCACGAGCCTCTTTTGGACCCACTTACATCAGTTAATAGGCGTTGAACAACGTATGTCCAGCGCATATTATCCCCAATCGGACGGAGCAATGGAACGAGCCAACAGAACCATCGGTCAGATGCTGAGGTCTTGCATCCAGCCCAGTCAAAAGGACTGGGTAAGCAAGTTGCCTGCCATTGAGTTTGCAATCAATCTGGCCAGGAATGAGTCAACCGGGTACTCACCGTTTTACCTCAACACCGGGCGAATGCCCCACCCCATGATCAGGAATTCCGCTAAAGAGAGCGAATACCCCGGGGTGCGGGCTTACGCTCTCCGATTGAAACTGGCTCTCATTGCAGCGCATGACTCTATCCTAGAGGCCAGAATCAAGCAAACCTGGTATGCCAATAAGAAGCGTCAGATTGCCCCTTTTGTGAAAGGTGATTTAGTCTACCTATCCACTAAGAATATCACTTTTCCCAAGGGACTCGCACAGAAACTCATTCCCAAATTCATCGGGCCGTACCTGTTGGAGGAAGACTTCAATAATAATTCGTTCCGCGTGAACTTACCAAGTAACCTGCATCCCGTATTCCACTCGTCTTTGATGCGCATTCATATCCCAAATGATGATCGCCTTTTTCCTGGACGGCTGGAGTCCCAACTAAGCGAACAAGATGATGCCGACAAGCAGTGGGCCATTGATAAAATCATGGGCCACAAGGGAGTCCGGGACAACGCCATTTTTGAAGTCCTTTGGAAGGCCGGAGACATTACCTGGGTTCCGTACGCCAAGATCGAGTACCTGGAAGCGCTGAAAGAATATTTTACTACACTGGGAATAAATGGAATCAATGAACTTACTGATCAAACAGATGGAGACACTCCACCCGATGACCCCCACCTCATGGTGGCATTGGTTAGGTTCCTGGAAGGAAGCGGAGGAGAGAAAGAAATAAAAGGAGTAGAGAGATCGGAGCTGACCACCCTGGATTTTGCACCTTACACCAAACCTCTACCCCCACTCACCCACACTGTCTACGATTTGGCGCCATGCCCCCTCCCAGTTCCCAGTACCTTCGCCATCTCCATAACGCCAGCTTTGCTTTAGTCGACCCCGACTCCGATGACAAAGAAAGCACCGTACATGCAGAACAGATTCGCGCCTTTGTGGCCTACAATGGTGCCCTCCGTTCCGACCAGACTGTATTAGCCTCGCGAGCTCCCCTTGGGTACCATACCTTCGCCACTTGCTTCAATCGCAACGAGCACTTCAAGGGGAAGTTAGCCTATCATGATGAGGACGGGAACCTTGTCGTCCCCGGACCCTCGGTCAGGCTGCATACCCTCGTCGGCAGAGACCTAGCCACCCCTCTGAGCAAAGCCAAAGGCGCTCCCTAGCATCACGTATTGGTGGTTCAGGGAGAGAAGCTCGTTAATGATGATGCTGCGAAGCATCACTCAATCAACGAACGGGTCCATAGAAGAGAGGAGATGGAGGATTACCAGGACTTGGATGGAGAACATGACTCACCTTCCCTCTACCTGGAGGCACCCCGCTCCGCTAAACGTGCTCGGGCTTCCCCTTCCCAGCTCTCCCGTTCGTCACCTTCGGCTCACCACCCTTTCAGGAAGGACCACTGCCGACCCTCTGGCGCTAGGCCACCTTCTCACCCTACGGAAAAACGACCTGTCGTCACTGCTGACTCGGGCACGTCCAAGATCCATGGGCCGGAGCTGCCTGACGCAATTGATCCAATGATATTGGACCTTTCCCCAGACACCCCTCCATCAACTCCATCCACGTCGACTCGAGTGGACCTAGACGACGCCGACCTCTACCCTGCCTTTGACGAATTTATCAAAGCCGTGGGACCTAACAGAGGCATCGCTGGGGAGGGAGAAACGTCAGCTTGAGAGAGAGAGAGAGAGAGAAAGGCTGTTGACCAGCCTTGGAGAGGGGAATGTAACGCGCCAACTATTCCCGAATATGATTCCTGCCGATTGCCCCACAGGTCTCTCGCTGTCCACGCACGCTCCTTCCATGCGGATTCCAACCCCTACGCTCGTTTAACATTTCGTTCCATATGAACCTTTCGTAGCCGTTATTTGTTTGCCCCAACCTGTCCACATAGTAGTGATAGATAGCACTGTAATCGATAGAGACAGGTAGCCTTGAAACAACCACGACTTACACCAGTTCTTTCAAAGGTTCAATACTCAGTGGGGCGTTAGCGTTACGCAAACGTCACAACCGCTTATCTAACACATTAGTAAAAACGGTAAGAACACTGTAGATGATGCTCGCTACTCACCACGGGCATGAAAGGGTTCCAGCCAAGCCGGGAGAGGTATGATTCATACACAAACAGCATAATTTCAGCCACCTGGCTGGGATACTTCAAATATTATAAATATATACTTATATACTTTGTGATAGATTAACTAAAATTTTACCAATGTTTTGAGAAATAGCTGGGATGGTTCGTGCCTGACACATTGCTAGTTCTTTGAAAAGTCAGCAGCTCAGCTAATACAACCTAGTTTATAAAGAACCAGCAACATGTCAGCCTCAAACTGGGCATGAACCCTCACAGCTATTTCTCAAAATATTGGTAAAATTTTAGTTAATCTATCACAAAGTATATATTTATAATATTTGAAGTATTCCAGAGGTGGCTGAAATTATGCTGTTTGTGTACAAATCATACCTCTCCCGGCTTGGCTGGAACCCTTTCATGCCCGTGGTGTACTAGCACTTCACAGTGAGGAGAATTTAATTGGTCCGAAATGTTTGTCAAAATGCGTTGGAAAAAATGATATTTGAGTCAACATTTAAACCACCTTACATTACAAATTTCATTTTCTATGGATATATGATAAATATAATACTTATTTCCTTACGAGTTCCAACACCCATGGGTTAAACTAGAAATGTCAAGGGATACGAAAGTAATTGCAAATAATAATACTGTTCTTGAACATTTCGACATTCACAGCAAGCATAACCAAATTTTGTCGCACCCAAAATCAATGAAAAAGTCTGAAAGTAGTTAATATGTCTAATTGTATTTTGGACCTACAAGACTTTTTCAGAATAATGTATTTTTGTTAATATATTTCTACATATCCACACAAAATATAGTATTAATGGAAATATGTCAACAAAAACACACAATTTGTAGGTCCATAATGCAATTAAATCTTTTACCTACTTTCAGACTTTTCCATCAATTATGAGTGTGATAAAAGTTGGTTATACTTGCTGTGATTCCAAAATGAGACCTTTTAGATACATAGCCTGACACAATACAAATTACTTATTTCAGCCAAACATTTTGAGAGAACAAAAACAACTAATTTTGAGTGTTTTAAAAATGTAAATGAAAAATAGGTCTTTGGCCGGTCGTGAAATATATTGCCCAATGGTTGCCCGCTTGTTGCCCCTGAACTGCCCACTTGTTAGGCGAGCCATTAATCTTATTAAGAAATGTGTCCAATAAATAGTAAGAAATGAAAGAGAGATATTGTAACAACCAAGAGTTAGTTACTCTGGCGCACACAGGAACACACTATAAAGGTAGTGAATGGGGAGTGGTTACCCCTTAGGCTGTAGAGAGTTTGTTGGTTAACAACAGGAGGACTTGCTGAGGAGTCTCCTGGATCTATTGGGGTATATATACTAATACAGAGTATTTGTACTTATGTACTGTACAGTTGATAAAGTTAGTGGCTGATGATGTCATGGGGCCTAGCCCGCATGACCAGCTCCACTGTGTGAGAGAGTTGTATCTAAAATAAGAATAAGGCAACGCGGCACGAGAAAGAGGAGTTTTGAACAAAAGGGGAAGTGCTGCGTGGCACTATGTGTGAAAGCTAAAGTGTACAAGGTTAAAGCGGAGAATGAAAAAGAAGGAAAGGTCTAAAAATTGTGTTATCGTAACAGATATTGATATCCTTGACAGGACAGAGCTTGGTAAACCAGACAGAACAATATAAGTTAGGCATAGATAACTCACCACAATCATAATTCAAGGGATTATAATCCTCAACTTGCACATTGCTATGCATTTTAGCTAACTGCCCTTCTAGCACAACCAAGTCCCCATCAACTTCCTTCTTCAGTTGTCACATCAACTCCACATCCCAATTCACTTGTTCAAAGGACCTGCGGAGAGCTGCCAACTGTTTCCCTATTTTGCCAAAACGATTAACAGATTGTTGAGCTCCCATCATTTCACCAATATTGTGTACATGGGATTCAATTGAGTTTAGAGGTTTTGCGGCCAGTTTTGTTGCCCTATTCCTCTCCTTTTTTTGTATATTTTTGCATGGGAGTTCAGGGAGTTCATGGTTGGCATTGTGTCTCTAAGTACAGAGTAAAGAGGAACATACCTCAGCGTGAACAGAATCACCAAGGTCTCAACTGTGAGAGAAGTCTGTATATGTAGTATGTAGAATTCCAAAGTAGGATGCCAAAAGTGCAGAGTACAAATAACATAATTCCTGACTGTTGTCGAGTTGATACTGGAACTCAACACTCCCTCAATGCAACAGTAGGGAAAGGCTGGAAACATGACAAGAGAAAGAGAGTCGAGGCAAAGGTTTTGTAACTTGACATCAATGTATTTTGAACGAGAATGGTTTGAAGCTTCTTTGGAGAGTAAGATTGCTCCAGTGTTGACTATGTGTAATGTGATAGATTTTAGTAAAGGGAAAAGTAAGAAAGAAAAGAATGAATTAATCCACAGAGTAATGGCCATGTACTTTGCTTCTGTGGAAGAGAGAGCATGAGTAACTTGCTTTTTGGCAGCATGTGCCACGGACCCCCTGGCAAAAAACCAAACAAAGCCCGAGATGGAAAGTAGTCGGTCGTCAGGAATGGTGGCCCCAGTCTGCATTGCAATAACCTGTGAGTTGAGATACGGAAGAGTCACTGCAATAGGCGGAGCGAATATTGAGGGTGCTGCTTAAATAACAAAGAACATGCTTGCCTGCAGCGTAATGTTGGGGGCCAGGGTTGATATTATGTTGAGGAAGGCAATGGAAGGTGAAGGCAATGCCGGGGCGGATACAAATTGCGAGGTAGAGTAATTTGCTGACAAGCGTTCAATAGCTGTGATTGGTGTCAGGAACCTCTTTGTAAAGTTTGGAGGGGGAACTGAAAGGGTGAGAGGGATCCATGGGGAGACTGACAGGGTTGCAGTTAACTAGGCCATATTTGTGAAGAAGAAAAAGGATATATTCCAATTGATGCACCCAAAGTTGTCGGGCAATGCGATTGCGTTTGAATTGAACACCAATAAACTTGAAACGGTGCCAAAGTCTTGTATGCCAGATCAGTCAGCTATGCATCGCTTGACAATCTTAAAAAACAAAGGGTCATTGGAAGCTCCTAGTCTATCATCGACATGCCATCCAATGATGCAAATGGTTGTGTGGCCCTTGGTGTCAGTGTTTTGATAAAAAAGGACAGCCTGGTCCACAGGGCAGCACGTGAAATTGAGAGAGTGCATGACACTTCTCACTTGGTCATACCACTCACAAGCGGATTGTTTCAGCCCGTATATGGAATTATGCATACGCCAGACAGAGGGAGTACCAGCTCCATTCCCGGTCTCAAAGCCAATTGGTTGCCTCATGTAAATTTCCTTGTGAAGTTTTCCCCATAGAAAAGCACGTGTTGCATCAAAAGTATCCAGTTTTCAGTCATGAATACAAGCAAGAGCAGGTATGATATGAACTGACACAACTTTTATGACAGGGGCAAAAGTTTGCCCAAAATCAATTCCTGGGAGCTGAGTGAATCCTTGCACAACAAGACGGGCTTTAAAAATAGGCCCGCCCTTCAAGTCTTCCTTGAACTCAAGGACCCAGCAACACCCAATGTTACAATTGACATACCAGCACCTACTTACGCTTCACTTTTGTACTTCTACTTTTATTTTCCAAGTCACATGACCAGTCATGTGACCATTTACTTTACTTTACATTTTCGGACTTTTTCATAGTCACATGCTAAACATCGGACTTTGAACTTTATTTACAACTGTACAGTACCTTATGTATTTTAGTATATATACAAGAGCAATACATGGGGAAGGACTCAGCGAGTCCTCCTGTTGTCTAGCATAACTAACTCACTGCAGCCTAAGGGGTGACCACTCCCCATCATCTTCTTTATAGTGTGTTCCTGTGTGCGCCAGAGTAAATAACTCTTGATTGTTACACCCAATGGCTTTCCAATCAGGTGGCAGAGGAACTACACTATAAATGTGCATTAACTTCATTGTGGAAAGTTCCTTTTCTATGGCCAGGATCCAATCAGCCTTGTCAGGACAAAGAATGGCTTTATGGTAAGTGGCAGGAGGAATTCAAAGGTTGTAGCCAGCAGCCAAGGGGTTTTGGCAAGTGTCACTGTGAATGGTAATGTTTGCGTATTTGGCAATTGGAGGGAGGCCACAACATTGTCTGAAGACAGGTTTACAGCAAGTGAAGAGACATGGGTTTCCTTGAGGATGGGAGGCGGAGGAGCAACAACAGGATCGCAAGAGGAAGCATGAGAGGCCAATTGGGCAAGCCGAGCAGCATTAGAGGCAGCAATGGAAGTGTCAAAAGCCAAGCCAGCCTGGGTGCAAGTGCAAACCCTGGAGGAAGTGTGATGGGAGACAGAAAGGATAAGAGGAGGAACAGGAGGGAGAATAGGGGAAAAAGGGGCAGAAGTAGAAAGAGGAGAAGAAGGTGACAAGTTCTTATCAAAAACTACATCACAAGAGGTAAAAAAAGTACCAGTAGAAACATCATGAAGGCGGTAGCCTTTTATGTCCAGAGGATAGCCCATGAAGAGGGCAATACAAGACTGAGCACCAAGCTTGGAGCGAAGCTCAGGGGGAACGCGCACAAAATTATGACATTCAAAAACACGCAGATGGGAGATGTTGGGTTTTTTACCATGAACAATCTCATGAGGAGTCTAGCCGGGAGACAAGGCACACGACTCACTAAGGTTCTAAAGATAACAGACAGCCAAGGCAGCTTCTCCCCAATATGCAAGAGGGAGACCGCTGCCTTTGAACAAAGTGTCTTAATGCTGTGGCCCGTTTGCTTCTTGAAGCAAGCACAGAAGTCATGCCAATGCCCCAGGACCTCCCCCTTGGAAGCAAGAAGATGCAACCAGAGCCAATTGCTGTGGTTGTCTAACAATATGAGGAAGTAAAGCTTACCATGGGGGGTGGCCACAGGGAAGGGCCCGCAGAGGTTGGAGTGAATGAGGTCGAGAAGATAAGCAGACGGGGGAGAATTTGACGGAGGATGAGGTTGGCAAGGATGCTTGGCAAGGACATACAACTCACATGTGAAAAGAGGAAGAGAAGAAGTGATGTTTGCACCAGTGGAAAAGTGCGGCAGACGCAAGACAGCCGGGCCACCAACATGACCAAGGCGAGCATGCCAGAGATCGTGAGTTTGAACAACACAAGCAAACACGGTAATCTCTGAGGGACGAGAGAGAATCATGGAGGATGTGGAGGGAGGGATGAATTTGAGATCCATATGGAAGAGATTGCCAATCATAGGGATAATACCAAGGGAAGAAGACCAATAGGAAAGATTGTAGCACCCTGGAGAACCCTGAAAGACGCAAGGCCAACCTTTATTCAATAAGCAACCAACAGAAACAAGATTCATCAATGCCCCAGGAGCATGGATGCAGTCCCGAAGGCACAGGCAATGACAAATACCATTCAAGGTGAGAATGGCAAGGCAATCCCTGTGACCAGCGGAAGAAAGTGTCCCCTGATTGGCAGCCTTGATGCTGATAGAAGGATCCTCAACATAGGACCAGAACACCAAACAATCCATGATAAGAGTGGAGGTTGTGCCTGAGTCCAGGATGGTTAAGAGGAAAGACAAAAAAAAGGAGCAGGAATGTTCTCAAGAATCGCACAGGAGAGGCCCCTGAAGTGAGGGGGAAAGACAGAAGGGGAAACCACAGCTACCTATGCAGCAAGAGGCGCAGTGGCAACAGGGGGGGGTGGCAGCAGTAGGAGGAGGGGGACAGTCGGACATTACAGCCAGGGAGCCTGGCCAGCCATTTCCCCCCCCAGCCTGATAACAATGGGAGAGATCATGACCATTGCGGTGTGGGTCTGTGGTGCAGGCGGGGTTCGAGCAAGGTTGGCCAGAAGGGTTATTCTTGTGAATGCGGGCTTGCAAAGACTGAGAGGAGGGCAATTTTGCAGACTGCATCACACCAACATGAGCAAACTCAGGAGCGGAGCGGTGATACATACATTTGCCCTTCAAGCAAGTGACTTCACAACTGAAATTCCGGAGAACAGGATCAAAAGAAGGATCAAAAGCAGGGACAACAAAAGGTGTGGAGACACCCCCAATGTCAACAATCCCATGGGAAGCCTATTGAACGGAATGAGTGTAATAACACTCAAAAGTATCCCACACAGGCAGAGAAGGAAGCCAAAGAAGCAACGGTAAGATCAGAGAAACACTGAGCCACATCCTTCCATTCCACCAGAAAATGTTCAGCATCATCAAGATCCTTTAAATGAAGCAACAACATGCAAGATTGCAGCTCAAACTGGAGAAAGGAATCACTGCAATGAAAATGAGCGGCAAGCGTGTTCCAACAGTCGCAAGCAGTGAGATTGATGTCATCTGGAAGGAGCTTGGCAACAGTGGGGGAAACCTTCCTACTTATGAGGGATTTGGCAGCGAAATTGCGCATAATCCAATCATCCATAGCTTTGGATTCAGCAACCAAGGGACAAAGGGGATCAGCGGCAACAGGGCAATGACTAGTAGATTCACAAGGCTTAGAAGGGTCTTGACCAGAGGAGATACGGTGCCAGTATCCCTTGCCGGAGAGGGCAAGGAACATAACACGTTTCCATCCAAGGTAATTGTCAGAACTGGTGAGACCGGGAATGTGATCATATTTGCCCATCTGATAAAATAACAAAAAGAAGAGGAGTTGATTATGTTGCGTGCAAAATCAGTTGTTAACCAGATGGCTCATAACTTGTAGAGAGACACGAGATTGATCTGAGCGTGAACAGAATGACTTTTAATTGAAGAGTCTGCAAGTACAGAGTAAAGAGGAACATACCTCAGCGTGAACAGAATTACTGAGATCTCAACTATGAGAGAAGTCTGTATATATAGTATGTAGAATTCTAAAGTAGGATGCCAAAAGTGCAGAGTACAAATAACATAATTCCTGACTGTTGTTGAGTTGATACTGGAACTCAATATACTCCCTCAATGCTCATGTTTGTGATGAGGTTCACGGCACATTTTTTCTGATACAGGATGCTGAGGGGAGAAATTTGAGAGAAAAACACGACTGAGACTCTCAGAAAGACCTTCTATTGCATTAGGGCAAGGGGGTGTGCTTGTGAAAATCTGACCGTCAATATTGGCTTGGGCCTTGAAGCGAGAATTCCACAGTTTAGATTTTTGCTGGTGCATATCAGGGCCTTCATCAGTCATAGCCAGTGCAAATAACTGTGTGTTTAGATCCAAGACTTAGGAAGCAGGCACTGAAGGAAGGTTGGAGGTAGCCAACTTGGATTCAGCTTTTTGGTTATTTATCCTAGCCAAGAGGGCAATTCTTGAGGATCCTAGAAGAAATCTTCCAATTGGATATCCAGACAAATTGTGATCACCTTCTTGGAGGCATGGATTGCACTTGCAGCAAAATCCAGGAGTTTGGCATTTTGGCATTGTAGTATGTAGTGCTATGGTGAATAGACTCAATAGGTTCACAGTGTAAAAATGTTGTGAACCACAACTAGGAAGGTAGTGGATAACTCGGATGCCTGCAATTATAAGATTTTGTCAATTTTTGTAACAGTAGAAAAATCCTAGTAGCAATCAGAGAAAAAGAAGTGGTGAAGCTGCATCCAAAGAAAAACCCAATTCAAGCTTATCTGATAGAGAAAACAACAGCTTGAGAGTCCGGCCATATTGCCCCTAGTTGCTTTGTACCTTCTTCAAAAGGTTTCTATTGTTATTGGTGCCAGTGGGGTCCTTACTACTTGCTACTTGTATCTTGACATTCCCATAGAAAGTGTTGAATGTACGTCTGTGTTAAACGCCACAGACGCAGAGCATTCAATCTTGATCTTGGTAGTAGTTCATAGTGAAGGTTAGACTTGCAATCAAATGCAAGATGGGCTGTCATGTGTGATGACTAAATTTTGGAAAGGCCTGTCACACAACTGTGTGTTCAATTGAGAACTTCTGGGAAGTGTCTAGCCACTTGCTGAGAGCTAACAGGGACAGAACTAGAGTCCAGTATGAGTAACTATATTATCAGAGAGTACAGAATGTGTACAGTACCTAGAGTCCAGTATGAGTAACTAAAGAATAGGAATACTGGACTCTGCAATACTAGTCCAAAGTTTTGTAAACAAAGGTAAACAAATCAACCACAAAGGCAAAATTATAGAATGCTCAGTGAATACTAAACAATAGAGCAAAGAGAATAAAAAGGAAAGTGATTTAGAAAGAAGGGAAAATAGATAGCACAACTAGGTGCAGAGTCACCAAAACTAACACTGTGACTGTGACATATCTGAGTCCCCATCACCTGACCATTGCACAATGTGACTGGGGGGTTTCTACCTCCTAGTTGTACATTTTTTGTGGACGATAAACCAATATCTATGTACCTAGGCCTAGAACCACTGCAAGCTCAAATTATAGAGCGCTACCCATGTCAATTATCCAAGCTATCATGGGGCAGCTGTTTGTTGTGTACTAGGTCATCTGGGGTGTTCCTACCTCCCAGATGCTGCTGCAATGGCTCATCTTTACCACTGTTCATTCATTTCAACTGAGCTCCTTACAAGTTTTTGTACTGCAGACTGTGATACAATGTTCATAGGAATACCATTCATAAGAAAATTGTTCCTCTTTCCTTTTCTACATTCCATCCCATCTTTTGCGCATTCCTCTCATACTTCTTTTTCCTTTCCTTTATTGCTTTTTTGCCTTCACTTTTGTTACAGGCATCCCATCCAGTGGTACTCCTCCTGCTATCTTTTTCAGCATATCTTTAATGGAGTCATATTTTGCTTTGATGTTGTTACCAAGGGAATTGTCTCAATTGTACGTTTTTTTTACAGTATTCATCCTCTTTTTTCTTGCTGGAGGCTGGTATCTCTTCCTAGCAATGTAATCCATACCTTTACACAATTACTGTATTTAGCAATTTTAACCAGGATATCACTCCTTTGCTTTTACCCGGAGTCTTGAAGTTGAGTCACTTGAAATTTGGAACCCAATTTCTGTCCCTAGTCTCATATACATTGTGTAAAATCAGCTTAGTAGGAACAAATCATTGTTATTGGTTGTAGTAAACATCACCCACTTTGTGTTGTAGGAGTTGATACAATGTTGTGTTTAGTATGATAATAATAATGGCTCAGAGTAATATTGGCCAGAAACACATATCTCATACACATTTATTTGAGGCAGCCTTTCCCTAGGTTTTTACCCATACACATATTATTGCACTTCCTTGTTTGCTGGATGATGTGCTAACAATTTGTGTCCTATCTGCAAGTCCTATCTGCGAGGCCTCAAGTCTGCAGAAGAGGTACATTAGTACCAATATCATCATTCTTGTTGACTGCCTTGTCGCACTATCTCACCTCTTCTGTGTTTAAGTATTCCCAAGATGTCTGCTTTTCTCTAGTCAAATATGTAAAAAAACACCATGATTATTACCACAAACAACCAGTGTTTTTTCTTCTGCATATCCTACTTGTTTAGAAAAGATTCTCTTTGGTACCTGCATGACATAGTCTCCAATATATACACTAATTTTGAGTTGCTATAGATAAAACCCATTCTGAGTATTGTCAGTAACAGTGTAGGTGTTCCATTGGTTTATGGCCACACTTCCTTTGAAGACTTATCAGCATCTAGTAATCCTGGCAGAATTACTACTCACATTAGTCCATCTAACATTAACATCATTTTCACACTTCTGTTGTCACTTTTAAGGCAAAGGCTGAGGAGTTTAGGGCGAACCTTCATGGAAGGTGCTACAGAATTGATTTGATTGTTATTCCAGGTTAAAACCTGTACCGTGTGTTCACACATCCCTACCACAATTCTTACGCCACTTTTATTGTTCAACTTTGCAGCAATACAAGTGATCTGGCCCCCACTTTTCAGCCTCTCCATGCATCCCTCTTCAATGTATCCCTATCAAAATGTCACTAGATCAACTCTTGACGCCATATATTTGTTTATTGCTTCATCTCCAAGTCCCAAACCTTGAGTCTATCAAAGCCTTGAAGAATATCAGGGATACAATCTGGAGGAATAAGATATTCTTACCTCCACTGGCCAGGAGAGTGCCATCCTGTGATATGGAAACAGCATATATTACCAAGGTATGTCCCTTCAATCGAAAAAAAATCAATGTATGATGAAAATATCTTTTGAAGGCCAAACATGTTCTTTGGAGCTATGTATTCTACTATCATCAAGAAAAAAGGGCACAGATTTATAAGTGTGCATGTCAGTGGGAATATTCACTTGATGCACAACTGCTAGAGGGTTTCTAGGCTTTTTTGTTGCATTTTTGTGTTTTGCTATCTTGACTAACTAGTGTGTGGTTACTTTTGTGCTGTTTATTGCAATGGCACTGATGTTCAATTACTTTTGTACTGTTTATTGCAACAACAACAACAACTCACAAAAAAAACAAAAACAGCATGGCCATTCAGCCAGCCCATCAAGTAGTCGTTGTAACTCCCTTTATTCCAACTATTGTATTGTATTTATATTGATGTGCAGTATCTATAGCATCTGTTCTTCGTTTTCCACTTCAAAAGCCCTCAAACCATATCTGTTTTCAACACTCCCTGCCTCGCCTCTATGTTGTCAAAGCTTGTTGTTCCATTTTTCAAACATGGAGCAACCTTTTCCCCTCCTCATTGGACAGACTCCACTGAAATGCCAACTTAACTTGCCATTAAAACTTATCACCCAGGGAGAGATTTGTGTGTTTTGATATGCACATAGGAATTTTGGTCAGCCATACACCAAACTGAAAAAGGTTATATTTCAGTGAAGTACTTCAGTTGTCCCTGAGTCTGTGCTAGATGATGGTTTATTGTTTGGGTTGAGTGGAACATCTGATACGTCTGATTCAAACTGGGAGATTGAGCTAATTCCAAAGCCTGCAGGAGAAGTTGCTTGTCCAGGCTGTGGAGGCTATAATATTGAAAGCTCTCTAGGCTGGCAACCCAAGGAGTTTAATAAACCAAAGGTACATTTGTGAATGCTCACTGATCTCTGTCATTGATTAACAATACAACCTATAAAAGTGTGCATAGCTTGGATTGATAGGCACCTAGACACAACAAAGTCTTACTCCACACAGAACTCCAATTTGTTGAGAGTCATGATTAACAAAGTAAGTGAATTAGCTCTGGATTTTGGTTACACTGACACCACCATAGGCTCTACAAAATCATCCACAGATCCACAAGTATGATCATTATTGGTCTATCACAGATATCATGAAGATTTGTTTGATTCAGTTGCGCAGCAAAACAGGCTGCAGTGGCTTCCGCTTCCTGGGTTCAGGAGTCAAAACACAGCCGGATATGTATGTCTGCCTTGCATTGATCTGATATTATAGACTGATGCAGTTGTAATTCACAGAATCAGGTAACTGGTCTGGGGCTTGGCAGAATGTATGATTATGTAGTGTGATAGTCATTTTTGTACATTGTATTATAGATTGTATACCACAAACCATCCTATTTATGGACTCTGAAAGGAACCCGTTGACCCCAAACAAACCTGTCTGTGTGTTTCCAGATTCACTAATACCCTATATAATGTAATCCCACGTTTTGGCCCATCAGGTGGTTGTTTGTTCACTAGTATGGATACCTGATATCCTAGTTCTGACCCTTCGCCCTCTATAGTCAGGTTTCTCATTTTTCTCATACAAATTGTCCCCTTACTATTTGCTTTTGATTGGAAATGATTACTCTGTGGTCTGCTATTAGTTCTTGCTTGAGGACTCTCATCTGATGGCCAGAATGTTTCTTCTTAGCCCTTCCCTTCAAACAAAAAACTCACGTTGTTTGTAATGGAATATATCAAGGATTTAGTATGCCTTGGCCGAACATCACAACTGTACTACTTTTTAATACTTCCATAGTGTATCCTTCTTGATAGGGTGACAGGAGGCATGGCAGTGGTTCTGCACCATTGCGCATTATAGCACCACATTTAGTGCTACGTCAATCCCTGGATTTTGAGCCATCTGGAATCCCAATCCCACTGGGCCATCAACATAATATGCCAGCTCTACCTACTAAAGCACATTCTGAATTATTTGGCTGATTCTGGATCTCTGTTCCTGTTGCTGTTGCCACCTTCACCTCTTATTCCCCCACCTGGCAGCCCTTTAACAACTACTTACTTTTTCACCAAAAGACTCTCTCTGATGTGAGGGCTCTCATAATGGGATCATCTCGGGCTTCAAGTCTCTCATTTGTTCCAGGTGTTGAGGATGGAAAAATAGAATACTATTTGGGGAAAGTTCCTTTCACAGCCTTTATTTGTGTTGAACACATAGATGAGTTTAGCTCAGGGTCAACATCAGAGGAAGAAAGTAGCAGCAGTAGTGAGGTTATTTTAACGACATCTTCAGAGATAATGTCGAGTGCATTTGTGAGTGATTATGAAGGTTACTATGAGAGTAGTAATTAGATAATAGTCTACAAAAACCCTTTGTAATGTTATTGATTATGCTTGATCAACTGCCCCCATGAACCTTGTGAGGCTAAGAAGAACAGTGAATTGCCTTATGAAAGACTAAGAAAACTGGAAGCTGTCCTCTGCCCTTGATACTCCTATTGATTGTACTGATAAACCTGAGAAATTATCACTTCAAAGCAAATATGGTGAAATATGGAGTGCTTTTTACCTTGGCAAAATATAGTCTGATATGACTGTATTTTGCTCCCTCATGT